CATATGTATATGAGTGAGTAGGTGTATGTGTCATCTAGTTCTATACATTACTGCTTAAAAACTAAATGCATTTATCTGTTATTCGGGTCCTTTAGGCTGCAACAGCTCTCTGTGGCTTTTTTTTTGTGTTGCCCTATTACTGGGCAGTGGCTTGCAGATGTTAGCTTCCCATCATTGTCAGTAGATACTATATTTGCCCCCCCCCAACCTTCCCCCAGGTATCTGCAGCTCCTTGATGGCAAGGAAAACTACCCCTGTTTGGTTGATGCAGAGGACGATGTAATATCCTTCCCGCCAATAACCAACACCGAGAAGACCAAGGTAATCACAGCCAGATGTAGCAACTTCAGTTTAGGCTCGCATTTGAGGTCAATGCAAGAAATATAGGTAGTACATCATCAATGCATTTTAAATGTAATTGTTCTGAATAACATTGTTCAGCATTATTGTACTAAGTGGTCAAAGAATCACCAAATCAAATTGAGTTATTCTAATGCTATGAACTTCCTAACATTAATGCAGTATTTTCAGATGCAGAGGATAGAATCATTTTACGGTCCATTTGTTCTGGCCACCACACACTCAGGTGATTTTTAGAAATGCCTCCTCTTCTCCACAGATGAGGAAGAGCACAAGAGAGCTGTTGTTAGAGGTGACCAGTGCTATCAATCTCCAGACCTGCAAAGATGTAATGGATGCTCTGATTGTGGTAGGCCTGAATTACCGTCTTACGAATTATGAAAATGACAGGGTTTCTGTAATTCTTTTCAACAGCCATTCAAAGGGACCAGAGTTCATAACGTTTCTTAAAGTAACCAAAACGGTTTCAGGCTCTCCAAATGGGCGCGATGGTGCCACATTGCATGTAAGGGATGGATGTGCTGTCATGTGCTGTCATGTGCTGTCATGTGCTGTCATGTGCTGTCATGTGCTGTCATGTACTGTGTGCTAAATGCTCCTGTTTTACCCGGGGATGTAATTATTTACCCTTAAGGATTTTACTAGCCCCTCACAAGCCTTAGGTTAAGATTAACGGTGGGTAGCAAATAGCAGTCTATGGTTTACAATTAAATAGGCCACTATGGATCATTATAATAACCTTCCCTCACAACCCACTGCTGCATTTCTACCTTTATTACTATGATGAGGATTTCAGCCCGTGCCCCCGCCCCCACCCCCCCAATGCACACACACACACACACAAACACACTTGTGCTCCTAAACAGTGGAACACACTACTCCAGTGGTGTGTCAGAAATGTAGAAATTTCGATGCTTAGTCCTCATCCATTTTGCAGGGCCATTTCACAAAGCAGCAGCCCACAAGTTTGTTGTGACGATGTAAATTTACGTCTTCAGCCCAGGATTCCTGTGTGTGTACGATAGCAGAGATTTGTGCTGATTTTATTGGAGGACGAGCTGCCAGTTGCATGATGTAGGAAGTAAGGGAATCGACATGTGGGCTGACCCACATTAAAAAGTCCGGCATGTTGTGCCACCAGAGGTGTTTGGCTTTACGTATTTGGTGTAACCGAGAGGTAAACCTATAGTATGCCAGCCAGTACTGTGGCCTTAGTGGCTTGTTTTGTTTTCTCAGTTCTTCTTGACTGAGCTCAGGTAACCTATAAATATTTAACAGTTCTTCTGCAAACCTAAGCTGGAAATACTGCAACATTTCTAAGGCAAATTTCTCCTCAATTCATATTTGCATGTCAGTATTCACCAGAATATTTACTTCAAGAAGTCGCCGTCTGTAAAATTGAAACTAACCTGATTCATATGAATTTTCATTTTAGTTAGGTTCCACAGAAGCAAAAATAAGGCTTCAACTATTATTTATGCTCATGTATTTTAACAAACGGGTGCTTATCAAAAACCCTTTTTGCTCTTCCCAAAGAAAATGGCAGAGCTAAACAAGGCTACACTCGAGCTAAAAGAAGAAATTGTGCCTGAGGATGTGGAGCCGGATTTGGTGCACAGTGAGCAGCCCTTGGGGACAGTGTCAGAAGCCATGAACGACGCCGTCTCATCTGAGCTAGTGGTGCAGCAAGTTCGGGTTGTGGATTTGGAGGGAAACCTCAGGGTTGTCTATCCCTCCAAAACAGACCTCAATGTCACTGTTAGCAACCTGACTGTCATTCGATAGGAGTCGAAAAGACCTTGGGGAAGCGTATTGTTTTTTATTTCAAATTTGTATCCTAATTTTTTCGATTGTCCCATCATTCAGCCGTGAGAAACAAAATGTTTGAGAATTTGATGATATAGCAATTTAATTGGAATAAAGTCATCAGTGAAAAGGTGTGGTTTATTACCCTAGATCCTTGTTAAAGAATACCTTGTTAAGATCTCATTAATGATTATACAGGCCCTTACAAATGAATCAAATTTTACTAAGTTGGGTTTACCTTCTATTCAAGACACCTTACAGCAAAAAAACACAAAAGATACTAAAATACACTAAGAACACACCTTAAATAAAAAGATAAAGTGTAAATATACTTAAGGGAGTATAATTCTTTTTTGTGTTAGTGCTTTTGTAAGCTCTTGTGTGTCTCAGTAAGTCTTGATTTACTTAAGTCGGTAGATTTTACCAGGCGGGGGGTTGCCTTTGGAGCAGATTTTAGGGTGTGTGGGGTGGGTTCAACCCCATAATTTTACTACCTGGCTGCGTGCCTGAAGCTTACCACGTTTCTGGAGAGCAGGAGGAAACTGGAATGACATGCAAAATGAACTGTGGAGTCAATGATTCCTTTCTGACCCTGGGGGGGTTTGAGTGGCACTGCTACCCAATAATCCAAGCTGCCCTAAACACAGTCATATCTGTTGTTATTTGGCAGAACACACTCGGGATAAAATTAACAGTTGAGTACATTTTAATTAAGTGTCGCTTTCCGTCTTGAATACTGAATTTACGCCCTGGGTTATGTGAGATGGTCTGGGGCTTCAGTATATCACGCTCAAATCTCAGGGACTGGGAATTCAGAGGTTAACTTTCAAGTAACGTGAATCGGATTACCTATCAGATGGCTGTCAAAGGTGCTGGTGACTGGAAAAGAAACGTCACGGCGCAGGACCAGCACCAGAAAGTCCTGCCAAGAACGCCGGGGTTTGTTTAAAGTATTAGATTTAATAACATGAAACGGAACTACCTTTAAGCAAGCGGCAAATGCAAACAAATAAATAGTAATGAAAACAACTTGCAAGCCACGACCCAAGAAAATAGCTTGGTCTGAAGCCAACAAGGAGAGCTGCCGAAAGATGAAGTGGAAAAATGCGGGCGATGTGGACGGGGGGCGGCGCTCAGATGCTCAGCGCCCGTGCGGACCTGCCCCCCCCAAAGCCTCTGTCCCCAGCAGGGAATCTGCGAGACAGTCCGCTGTTTTTCGACCCGTTACAAAATGGACGAACTACACAACAGATTTAATAACAAGATCGAGTCCCCTGATGTTACAAACCATGCGGGGAACTGCACAGAAAAGCAGCAGCTCACTCCTGCCTCCCATCAGGGGGTCCCGCATCACCAGCAGCGCGGTTATCGCCGCAGTCCCCTTCATTTCCAAAGCTCCGACAGTGCACCATGAAGACTCTAACGCCAAGCTATTAACAAGCATAACGAAAGAAAATGCTCTATTCCGGCTATACGTGACAAACCAAGGGAAGCCCAGTAACTTTAAGTCACGTTTGATTAACGGCAGCGTCGCCCAGGCTGTCGCTGGGGAAGGAGCTCGGGCGAAGAATCAGCTGGTGGGGGTCCGATGTCAGCCGGTCAAATCGGCCGAAGAGCAGAGATCCTGTGCGATTAACACCGGCTCCAGGGACTGTGAGGCAGGCATGTGTGCCTTAAAACATGCATCCGGGAGGAAGGAGCCGTCCAGCGACGCCGCTGAGGCCGGACCTCACTGTGACCAGGACAGGGATGAGTGGACAGAGACTGACGTTTTGCGATGCCTGCAGTCTGGGGACTATTACACGGACCAAAGGATTTCCGAATGGATTTTGAATGTCAACGCCAGCCTGTTTTGTCCATCTAGCGGTTCAGTGGGGAGCATTGGTCCAAGTGAAGAACAAGATACTTCCATTAAGATCGTGTATGACCGGGAGTGATAAGCGGCTCCGCGCACCTTCCGAGATCTGATGCATAACTTAAGTCCGAAAAACTCAAGGATACTGATGCAAAACCGTATGAGCAGTTCTTGTGCTGTTTTAAGTTTCCCTGAATAGGTTGGTGTTGACGCTTAATCAGACACTTTATATAGTCACCTAATATTTGCTGTTTGGAAGAATAGAGATATGTATGTGAGTACGTTTCTTCAACTTATAAAAATGATCTAAACATAAACTTGTGTTTAATTAGGCCTATATGTATTTTTTGAATGCACAGAACACTGAACAAATTATTTTGCCCTGATATGTGACCCATGCAGTTATGCCGCAGTTGTGACTAGTTCATTACCAGTACTGTTTGTCTCTATTTAAAGAACAGAAAGTGTAACAGACTGTGTAATGAATGTCAATCAGATAAATACAGTTTGTAATGGTGTATCTAAGTTTTGTATTATCTGATGCAGTAACCTTCTTTCATTTGAGCAAAACTTTAATGGTACAAAAAATTAAAGTACATTGTTGTATAGAAATATTCTT